AAAAGATTGAAATTATCATCAGCTTATGATGAACTTTTTCATAAAAATTGTTACAGAATTTTTTGAAAATATATACAAAAAGTAATAAATTCAAATGGGATAAATATATTCATTTTAAGTGTGAATTTTGAGTACCCATCCAGTTCTCCAGGCAATTACGTAAAAAAGCAAATTTTTTCAATTCAATTTTATATCCGGTTTTTTAATTATTGTAGCATAAATAAGTGAATGCAATTATTTCTAAATCAATTACTTCTGCAATTACTTTTATTTTCGGATCCGATCTACTACAATAAAATAAAAACATATTTATATATAGAGTTATAGATTTCTATTTTTACTCTAGTGACTTTGTGAAATTGACAGAGAAATTCAACTCAAACCTTTGCAGTCAAGAACATACTGTACAAAAATTATTTACTCCTTTGAACGCCAACGTTATTGCATTCGAAGTTTGCGTTATATTCCAAGTCATCGTTTTGATTCGTATAGGAGCTTTTGTAATGTAAGTCTGTTTGTATCTATGTTAGACTTGCAATGCAGTGCAACAGCAAACAAAACGACCATAAATTCTATGTCGCGTGCCTAATCGCCACGACTGGGACTGGCAAAGGAAAAAAATTGGGCTGCAATCAACAGCTGCAGTAAACATTGGCCCTCGCAAACTTAAGCGATACGAAACGTTCACAGGCATTAAATCAGCTACACATACTGGAACGTATTTAGACTTGAAAAGCCATCAGAAGTAACGCGAGCAACCTCTCTATTGATGAGAGATTCTTGGAAAACTGAATCTTTTTAAGATAACTTATTGTCCTCGTTGTGAAACTAAAGTTGCTTGTCCTTCAAATCTTAAGTAGTACGAGGTGTGTCCAGAACAGTCCAGAAAAAGTCTTTTTAAATTTATCGAAAAATATTTATTCATTCATCAATAGCAATTTGGTCCCTTTCAAAGTAATCTCTCTCGGATGTGCCTCTTGGTATGAACTTGAGCTCTTTCGGCAATCCGGTTTTCATATCCTTATAAATCGGGAAAACTTCGTCAGCTCATGGATGTATTCAGGTTTGGGAATAGGAAAGAGTCGGAAGAAACCAAGTCTAATGAATACTTTAATAGGTAAATATTGTTTTCAAAAAGGGTACTTCTCAGCTTAATATTACTTTCTATTTTAATAAGCATTCAAGATTGTAATATTTTGCTCTTGTTTGTGGCACATACACACTTAGTGTGAACGTATCCGTTTCATTTGAACGATTCATGAATTAAGTATTCATTATTTTTCAATTCGCAGATTATTCGATTAAACGGTTATCGAAAGTTATCGAATAATTGAGAACACTACAGAGTACAATATGTAAAAAGAAAGTATGTTATATACATATAAACCCAACATTTTCATATGCGTAGCTACAAGAGCAATAAGCTCTAATAATGAGCAGCTTATGCTTGCCACTGTACACTTGTATGGGTATAAATCCCTTTTTAATTAGTGTCGCAACAGTTTTCAATGCTACCAGGCAACAATACAGGGAGTGAAAGACACATTAAACTCTTTTTAGTAAACGAAATCTCTTTTCGTACCCTTCCAAGAGGGGTTACGAAAAAATTGTTTTAGTTTATATATGAATTACTTGTATATTTTTATTCTCCCCACTAAAATAAGTAATACAAGTCAGATATATAAATATATACATACATGTATATATGGATATAATATGGATATAGTAACATATAAAATGTAATTATACATACATATCCTGTAGACAAGACAGATAATACCGTTTTCCAACCTTGTGGATTAAAATCTCAAGTGCAGCAGAGCTTACTTTAGCCGCAGCGGGAATTAGGGCTCAGGCGCAAGGGCATAAATATGTTACACGATCAGAGGATGTCTACTCATCCTCTTTTTAGCCCTGGAATTTGTTGTTATTTCTTTGTTCTAAATAAAGTACAATAATAGTAATAATCAGAAGGCCAGCTGTTGTATAGATATAGAGAAGACCCTCAGATTGCTTTTTCTCCAACGTTGGGGGAGAAACTTATGCTCTTGTAGGGCGTAGGTTGGTGCCTCGCATATCTTGATGTCGTAGCCTATAGGCTATGATTAATAAGTTTTCCGTTATGATGTCTGTATGCGAACTTGTACGAAATTACGCCATATGTATTATCTCTTACTAGATTATGATTAATGCAGTCATTGAAGCGTTTTAACTGCGCGTTTGACCAGTAATCTCATGAACTTTATAGGATTTAATCGAAGATTACAGTTAACTTATCTTTCCAGTCAACGTAATTGTGGGTCACGGTGCACTATTTTAATTCCAAAATACAATTTAATCTGTTTGTGTACATTATTTTTTTTATATTATTTAATATCCTTTTCATATAATAATAATAATAATAATTGTATTTATTTCTCTGGATCATCCGATATAATTACTAACGTATTTGGATCCTTACTTTGTTTCTTTCCATATGCATCGCTAACTCTCGCCGTGCTGTTATCTCCAATTAATCAACGAAAAAAAAAAAAAAATACTTAACTATAACTCTACTCTACATGTATGAACATGAATCCACGCACGTCCACTTAACAAAAAAAAAAAAAAAAAAAAAAAAAAAAAAATGAATGATATTAATAATATTAACGCTTTCATGCCATGTCAACACTTACGCTTCGATACACTTTGTTTGTCATAAATGAAAACACAATAATATAACAAACACACAACAAAAATGTTGACAATAAAATAAAATGAAAATTAAAATACAACACGGTTTCCCACGCGCCCCCGTTTTCAACCGTTGTTTCTGTTTTACAACTACGTAACGCCTATTGGGAATACGTGCATATGAAATAATAAATATATACGCGTGCGGGGCAACTTTATGTTTACGTCATACATTTTGGGTGCGCTGACGGTATGCTGCGGTGACCAAAAACAAAATAACAAAAAAACAAAAACCGACATTCGACCAAAAAATCTTGATGTTTCTTTAAAATGTGCGCTGTATATGTGCATGCACGTATACATGTGTATATCTGGTGTAAACAAATTATATATATATGTATACATGTACATATAATATGCAAACGTTAACATTTTTCGCCTATAATATATATATATATATATATATATATATATGTATACATGTATATAAATGGATGTGTTTTCGCTAATGTATGTGAACGAAAACGAAAACAAACACATGTATGATGACAAATAACGGCAACAAAAATGCAAAAAAACATACATTTCGCTAAAATGGTTTTGTGCGGTGTTTATACACATGACAAAACATTGTTAACAAACAAAAACAAAAAATCAAACTCAACGCCCCAACTCAAACACTCACACTTATGCCAACAATCATACGAATGCATAAAAACAAAAAATAAAAATAAAAATAAACAAATAAATAAAAACAATGAAAATCATGAAAAAAACACGCCGCACACCTTCGATAACAAAATTGCTATACGTGATGATGATGGCGATGTTGCTGCTGTCACTTTTTTTGGGATATTAACGAAATGATATATTTTTGTCATATGTATATCATTTAACTTTGTGTTTGTGTGTGTGCATGGATATATATGGACTTGTGCGCTTGGGATTGCTCTTCAAAAAACATCCGCACGGTAACATGGTTGACTGCCATCATCGACATCACCACAATGTAACAAATTTTAACGAAAACGAAACATTTTATGATGAAAACCTAACAAACGTGACTCATACATACATAAATCGCTTTTGAACGTTTACCTCCTCAATCGCTTACAATTATCAACGCTTATGTTTGTATTTGTTATGGATATTTTCGATTTACTTTGTTTTGCTATGCTTTGCTTCTCCCACACTACATTTACTTATTTATTGTGTGTGTATGCGTGTGCGTGTGTGTGTATTTGTGTCTTAAATGTAATTTTTACTTTTTCATTTTCTATCCTATCGTATATATGTATTGTACATCCGCGTCTGGTGTATTGATTCTAACGACAAAATGAATGATCGTTTTATGTCCTTTTTATTTGTTGGATATGTTTCTTTTTCGGTCGTTTTTCTTTGTTCTCTATTCGTTTAATAATAAACATGAAAATTCGCATGTGTATCCTGTTGTTAACATTCGGGCAAACGTTGCCATCCTATGTACGTATGCGACTGGTTTTACGTACATCTATGTGCTTCCTTTGGGCACAATAATGTCTTGTCCATCTTTACTGTTATTTTTCTTGTTGTTCTTGTTGTTGTTATTGTTATTTCTTTCTTTTTTGCTACTATTTCTTCTTTTTTTTTTTCGTTTTTGTCAAATGTGTCAACACATAATCTGATGCTTTGTCGTTCTTAATCAAATAAAAATTATGACAAAAAAATGCAAAAAAAATAAAAAATAACTGTCGCGAACACTACCACTTACGCAACTATTTTATGAACGAAATTCAATTTCTGTTTTCGTGATGATGTGTTAAACTTTCGTTGTTATTTTAACACCTTTCACACGTTTGTTGATTCATTTCGACACCTCTTATGAAAACATATCAACACCTAAAATAACATTCGCTTAACAACAACTCCAACAACGGCTCTATATATGCACACATACACACGCATGATTGCTTTAATCCATATCTCTTTTCTTCTTTAATTTTTTTTATTTTTATTTTTTTTTTTCTTTTATGCTCTGTATTAATTTTACTCACAATGCATACATTTACACTTGCGCTTACACTTACATACACACATACACACGCATACGCACACACATCTCTTAATTTTAATTGCAATTTATTTCAATTCTTTGCCATCAAAAATGTATAAATCGTACGTTTATTTGTATATGTGTATATTTGTATGTTGCATATGTACGCGTATGTTTGTGTGTGTATATATATGTATGCATGCGTTTATATTTATTTTTCTTTGCGGCTTTATTGTATATTCACTATATACATGGTACTCCCACTGCTACTGCGGTTCTTGTCGTACAAATTAAGGTCATTTGGTTTAAAGATACCATGCAATTGGATACGACAGAGCGTCACATCATGGAGAGTCGTGGTTCACGTCACACTTTGATTATACGCAAAGTGCATCCACAAGATTTTGGCAATTATTCGTGTGTGGCTGAGAATCAACTTGGCAAGTCACGTAAAACCTTACAGTTGAGCGGTAAACCGAACGTGGCCGTATTCAGCTCACCGCCAATCAGTCAGTACAAGGACAGGTAAGTGGGTCAATATACCTGCTAACTATAATATACACAAACATAAATACTCTTACATGCTGGGTATTAACTCATTCCTCCGTTGCAAACCATTCTATCTCCGCCTATCGCCCTCTACCCTGCTACCCTTCTCTATAACGATATTTGTTCAATTTTGCGTATTCGAATCTCTATTTCTTGTCTAAACATAGACTATATATATATATATATACTCATACAAAAAGGCTCATATGAACCTGTAAGCACGTAAGAACGCCAAGGAGTACCTTCGAATTCAGAAAATGTTACGTGAATACTAAAGTCCCATTTCATACATACATTGTATATATACATGTATATATATATATAAATACCTAATGTACGTAAACTTGTTTGAATGTGAAAATGTGTACGTTTTTATATGCATTACATATATATATATATATATATATATATACATATATATATACATATATCCTCGGGTGTGCATAACATCCCAATTAGCAGCAAAACTGAAAGAAAATTAATTTATATTATCTGTAGGTGGATTTTCACTGGTGTTATCTGCTAATTATCTGATTTTTGCTTCTTCCAATCAGTAATACATTCATATGTTCATACCTTTCATATATAATAAATAAATAAAAGGATGCTGATGTTGCTTTTCCGCCCGTAATGATTAGCGCAGTTGTATTAAAGAAACTAAAAATTTAAGAGAGTTTCACCAAAATTCTATACCGTCCCGAACACAAACAAGCACCTCAAACACGCATTCTACGCGATTGAATGAATTCTTCATAAAATCACGGAAACTTTTTGTACGGAAAACCATGTAAATCATAAATAAGCAGAGTTCAATTATTTTAGTTATGAGCTAAACATCATAAAATCATAGAATAACGTATGGTTACGTACAATTTTCAAACTCGTTTCAAATCACCGCACTATGAATACCGTAGATTTTATTTGCAATTTTAGAAGACTTGACACAAAATATTATGTACAAAGTTTTAAAGGAAATTCTTTAGAGAAAAAGCAGTACGTTTTAGGACATTTAAAAATTCTTTGCTCTTCTGAGATGCCATGTTTTCCGAATACCACGATTCAATTCTTCCTCTTCAGAGAAAACCGCTCTGCTTTTGACTTTTTTGAAAACAACTCGCTTTTTTAATAGTCCTCCTCGCTAGTCGTCATATCCGTTAGCCGACTTTATTTTTTCAACTATCGCTTCGCAAATTTTTCAGGCGGATTTATGATAAGAAAGACAAGATTTTGGTCCAAACACAATAAAACAATAAAACCTAAAACTAACTTGAACATTAAAAACAACAATTCAGTTAATTTGAATATAATTTTTAAGTGAAATAAAACCAAAATTGCTTTCATTATCGCTTCCAACGGTAGGTCTTCTTTCATAGGTTTATGTTATATCGCTTTCGTTTCAATTCCAATACTCCACGTTTCGATAGCTGATATATTAGAATTGATTTCAGTTCGTGGATATATTCTTAGTGACAGCTTTATGCAAATCGCTTGTTAATATCTCCAAGTTGGGGAACTCTTTCAACATTCGGATCACTTTGTTGAAAATAGTTGCATATCGTGTCAGAAGAATCTTGGCGGTCTATATCGGTCATAGATGCTTTCAAGATGATGAATTAATGCGATGGAATAAGTGCTCGCAAACTCAAAACGAGTGTTCTGAAAGGAGGCTTTTTTCCTCCTTAATAACTCGGGTGAGATCGACAACATGTAGAACACCCAGTAAGTGAAACGGGAGATGGTTATATTAAGGTTTTATGCGCTTATGTAGAATTGGGAACACATTGACTGCACTACGTCAGCGTGCACACCTACAGAATACGAAAAAAACATCTAAGAAAATTACATTTGGCCCTGACATATCACTGTTACCACCTTATTAAAGAAAAAAACAAAAAAATTCAAGCTTTCTAAAATGGAGGCGTGTAGGCGAGTCTTTGCAAATATCTTCATTTTTGCGGAAGGGATAATGTTTACCACAGTTGGCCAGCCGAGTAGGTAAGCACTCGAAGAGGCGGACATGCTTAGGTACATTCCAAATTTGAAACTGTCCGAGAGTTTATGTATTTTGAGTACTCCTGCGCTCTGTAAAGGAATTGTAGGCATGGTTAATTTGTTCTTTTTTTTCCAGGTACTACGGCGTTGCCCATAGAATATACGTTATTGTAGATTGATCTGTTATAGTTTGTGAGTAAAGAGCAAACAAACCAAATTTTTTTCCTTTTGAAAAACTGTACTCAGCTGCACTTAATGTGGTTATGTCCTTCGACCAATTCAGCCCATTTTCAACATCATCCTGCGTGCAAGTACTGCCAACGTTTCTGTTAATTTTGAAGACAATAGCTTCATTTTTGCGGAACAAGCGAAAGCTACAAGATGATGGTTACAACTCACGCACCGACAGATCGATTCAGAATTTGATGCTGATCAAGAAAATGTGTGAGGCCGGTAAAGCTTCCTTCCAACTGTTGCAAAGGCTTTGACAAAATGAATATGCCCCTCATAGGTACGAGATGGGTTCATAAATTTATATATATGTACAGAAAAATAGGAACTAATTCCTGCCAATGTAATTTGGAGTCGCATAGAGTAGGGTCAAGAAGCGAAATTTAATAAGCATGATCTTAAATTATTTCACAACAAGTAAAAACATAATCGAGTGAGGGTCAAATACTTTAGACGAAGGGGAGCCCTTATGTGTGGCGGCCACCTAAAACATGAAAGCGACTCAGTCTAAGTGGAACAAAAAGAACGTTTTTTTTTTTGGCTAAAGATCTTAATTTTGATATTCCTCGCCTATTAAGTAAGTAAGAAAGAAGAAGAAGAATAATGCACTCATTTAAAATGAAATTCGCTCGGCGTAGTTTTTACGGAAATTTTCCAATGCGTTTCACTAACAAGAAAAAAGTTATTAAACAGTATGAAACGTCGAAAGATGATCACGACTGTAATAAAGATAACTTATGCTGCGTCCTCTTGGATGTAAAACGTCAATCAAAATTTCATTGAACCGAAAGGATTAATACAAGACTCATCAAATTAATTGAATTTGTTTCCTCTCCTGTACGATGCTTCGGCTGGTAGGGATGGCAGAGTAAACAACAGAGAGAGATAGGATGAAATATTTATTTTTTCTTTTGCTTTTCTTTTTCTTTTTTTTTTTTTTTCTTTTTTTTTGTTATAAATCAGAAGAACTGACTTCAAGATCAATAAAATACTCTTCTTTTTATGATTTAACTTTAACGTAAATTACCAATACTCCCGGCACCAATAAGTAAATGACAGCGGTTAAGTGACGGTAGCGACGGTGAGAGGTGAAATGGCGTTAATGATGGTAATAGTGGAGGTAGCGATGCTCATAGCAATGGCTCTTGACGTTGCAGTCAATGAACGTGAATGCAAAATAACTGCATTTACTCTGATTTTCATTCCCTTGATTTTGAGCATCTTGTGGCGAAAACCAATCACATTTACGTCAACCACACCACAATATATATATATATATATATATATGTACGTACTTGCACACGCACACTATTCGGATAAATATGCAACGAGTTTCGTTGCGAAAAAAAAAAACGGAAATTTTTAAACACAGACTCCCTGAAGATTAATATATATTTTCTTCGTCTCCGTTTTGATATTGTCGACCGTATAAAATGATGTCCCCTTTCTACTGGTGAATAAAAAGATTTAAAGAGTTTAGCGCACTGTTCTCCTAGCAAAATTGGAAAAATACCGTTTGCTCTGTGCACACACTTGTCTTGCATTGCTCACTAACAATGGAATGGATCAGGCAAATGAAGAAAAGTTGCGACAATCGTTAAAAGTGTGTTGAATGAAAGCAAACGAACTTCACTACGCAAAAAAAGAAAAAAAAAAAGAAGCAAAGCCTTTACTTGGGCTGAAAAGAATACTGAACAAATCCTTATTATACAAAAAAAGAAAAAAAAAAAAGAAGAAAAACTACAATGATAAAGGACAGCAAATAAAGCAATTTCGCAAAGCACTCGTTCTTCTGCACTAATGACGTTTGATGATATTTAAAATAACGCGCTAACAATAAAGCTATTATCTAAAAAAAAATATTTTTATTCTTGCAATTCACTTATTAAGTCTCGAGTACCGAGTACATTATCGACAGCGTTGTCAGATATTTTCGTCTTAATATAAAATAATTTAAGAAAACACATCCATGAAAAAGCAGAAGACTTGCTAACGTTTACTCTATTCACTAGCGACTTGGAAACATCTTTAGAGTTATGTACACGACCAGTCTTTTCATTATATAAATATTAGGCGTATAGCTTACCTCCGTTGATTTTTAAGTGAAATTGAACATAAAAGAATTATTACAAAATATTTTATTCGAGGTACTGTGTGAAATCTATAACGAGTTATCCTTTTTTTTTTTTGATATGATCAACAACTTAGTAGATATGTCCCCATTAGAGTAACGTTGTGACGGTCAGAAAGAAATGGGGAAAGAGGAGCAAACACAAAAACAGGAAGATGCACTGGCCAGCAGCCTAGTGGATGTATGGCCAAACAATAGGTTGTGTATGCCTTCACCAACTGCACAGTCAATGCTGCTACGACCAAAGTAAACTTTACCGCACTTGGGATTTGAACATTGGCATGATAGTCGCGATTCTTAGATACTCGACTGGTCTTGCGAATAAGGAGGGAACTATCTTCTATGCACCGAGGCTGACGCTCTCTTACCATTATCATAAAGTTGAAAGCGCATCTCCAGAAAGTAAATCGAAAGATCTGTTGAAAGATCGATTTTGCAATGTATGACCGAGAATTTCAATGCTAAAAACCGGCCTAAAATTTAGCGACCCTCTGCGAGATTTGATACAGTTAGAGCAACTCGTAATGTATTATGTAAAAGTGGGTAGATGACATTTTTGACTTTCGAAATGCATAAAAATGACATACGTCATCCACTCGACAGTGCAGCAGGTTTACCTTTGCTTTCTAATCCTTTTTTTAACGCATAAATCGACCTTTAAAAAACTTCAGCGGGATATTTTATCGCGTTGTATAAAGCAAGAAGAGGAAGGAAAATCACACATACTTATTCAGTACTCTATAGCGGAAGACTCCCGCTAACTAACGATTGTGGTCAGCTTATTATTAAAGTACAGCAACTTATTCTATGTGTTGGGGAAAAAAAGATATTAAACAGCGTTAGCTCTCGAGCAATTGCTGTGTTTAATTTTGTTCTGAGGTGCTTTCAAACTTCTTGAAATCATAACTCGGTCCACGCTTTGTTAAATGGGGGCCACAAATCTGGCCATAAATCCTTTCTAAGTTATATAAATTATCTCATTGTCATGTATTTGATCATCTCTCTCTTTAAAAGTGAAATTAATTTCTTTTATTGCTTTCATTAAGGCTTGTTTGTCTCTATGTAAAAATTAAAAAATCACAGTTATTCGACAAAGTACACACAAACACATCGCGTAGAAACGTTGAAAACAACTAGACTTATATGTACATATGTGTGATAAAATTTGACAAATAAAACTTTAAATTGGATTAGCTTTTCTGAAAACAATCTTAAGTTCGCACACACTGTACACACACACCCACTGACACACGTATACACTCACATACGCTTTCAAGCACCGTACGCTACATAACAATGCATAACAATTGACGTCGTGCTGTCATGTTGCGTTCGAATGAAACTTTAAGGCAACGTTTGCAGGAAAATAAAAGAATTCAGAGGAAATAAGCACAAAGAAATTTTAAATTCTCTTTCTCTGTTTCCTTTCAAAGGAAAGCGAAAGAAAAAAACAGCTTGAATGGAATGAAAAATTAAAATATAGAATAAAGAAAAAAAGGAACGGAATTTACCATCTCTCAGTAATTGTTGTACACTGTCTTTTACTTTAATGCTATGAACGCGAGTAATTCGTACATATTTAAATACCACTGTACACTTTTCTAATTTTTTTCTCATAACGCAGCAATAGATGAAAGCAAAAGTGAATCTATTGATAACTCGGAAAGGGTTCTCTTGTTCATTGCTTCAAGCATCCAATTATTACATACGAATAACAAATCATAGCGGCATGTAAGGGAAATGTTCAGACATCTGCTTAATAGGTTAGAAATAGAATATATATAGAACCAACTCATTAATATTAACTGCAAGCTAAACAACCGTGGAGTAGACTTCGTTCCTCTTAATCGGTTCAAAAAACTACTTCCATAGTTTTCCTCCTCTCATTACTCCATGAATGTTTCTAACATGGGCTTTGTTTGCTTTCAGTTTCGCATGCTCCTCGTCTCCCCCAAACTCTTTAATCTAAAAAGCTGAGTGATTTCTCTAAAACATTTGTTACACATAAAACTTTCACTTTTGCCATTTAATCTACATCTCGTAAAGGCTCGGTAGCAATGTAAATAAGCAGAAAAAGAGAAAATGGAAAAAAAATTCATTTATCGGCAGAAATATTGCCTATAACTTCCGCTCTAGCTTATTGTGAATGAAACTAAACCTTATTTTCTCTCTTCCCTGCCTCCGCCGTGTCGCTGGCTAAATTCCATAGCAGATGAGTAGATGAGCAGGATAGTACCTTTTAATGGTTTCAAAGAAATATAAAATATTTGCACGTTGTGTTGCATCCTATTAATGAGGACACGATTAAAAAACAACATAATTTCAGTTTCCCATAAAGTCGTATTGCCGAGCGAAGAGAGCTTTTTAACGTTTCTATGCGTTTTCTATGAGAAATCAAGCGAGGAACTGGCAAATTGCTTAAATCTTCTTTCTTTGTCATGCAACTTAAATCAGTCAATGAGATGTTTACTCAGTGTCTGAATGTTAACGGCGCCAATATTTTGTTATTTACTATTGTGCAGACACAGTGCGAAGATGTTCTCTATATCAAGAATAGAAGACGTGCACGACAATTAGCGAACGTTAAATAAATCTAAAAGTAAAACTTTACTGATTGTTCGCCTCGTTAAAAATGTTTATTCAATGATTTTGCTAATTTTCCAAAAACAAAAAAAAAAAAAACGAAAAGTTTTTCAAACTCAGCAATAGATTATTTATTATATGTGTAGATTGACAAACTTTTAAGCGTTTCCACTGATAATATGGATAAATACGTCTTTTTGCTTCGTTTTTAATGTCAAAAAAAAAAACAAGAAGAAAAATTAAAAATAATAATTGACGATTCCGCATGAAGTTTATTTACTGAAACTTGGGAAGCTATAAAGCAAAAGTAAAATAATACTTCAAATTGATATAGTTCTGTGTAATCTGTCCTTAGTATTCATACTTTCGTTATTACTTTTAACTTATCCAGAGAAATAAATTGTTAAACTAAAGTCTTAACCCATCAGCGTCTAAGGCTAAGATTTTGTTGACAGCTTCACCGCACTTGGCTAAGGTTTCCTTGACAACTTCACAGCACTTGAGATTTGAATGCATAAGTATCGAGTTCTTCATCGAAATCCTTTGGCCACTTGGCCACTCAGGTCGGATGCCATTAAGTTTAATACATTTTTTGTATATTTTAATTTTTTTTAATACGGTTGGAGGGAAAGTTCTTTCGTATCTTATTCATGTACTTTGCTTTTACACAAACCCAAGAGATTTAATGTGATCTCCAACAGTTGTATGACGAATGCCTAAATCATCTGCATTTTCTCGACTTTTTAAATGTAGATTATTTTCCAACATGGATCGCAAAACATCATTATCGATCACTTTCTTGGAGGCTCAGATCACCGGAACGAAATTTGCTAAACCATCTTTGACAAGCACGAACATTTACAATATCTTTTACAAATAGTACACATCAATTTTTACATGCAACCGATGCGTTGGTTTCTTTTTGCAATTCATACAAAATGTAACGTTATAAATGCAGTTTATCTACTGACATGTTTTCCACGTTAAATATCACAAATGATGCACGGGAAAAAAGACTCCTTTTATATTATGCAGCAGCTAAAAAAACAAAGAAAAATCCGAATGACTCACTAGCCAGATGCTATTTGTTATTTACAAAAAAAATTATCTGCCTATTTAAAATACGATAGAACTTTCCCTCCAACCTAAAAATTAGTCTAATCTATCCATGAAACGATTTCAAAGATCGAAATACTTCTTTATTCACCACAATACTGATTTGCTCTTATTATAAGAGAGTTTCGTTTGATGGAAAGATTCAAGAAGCTCTTCAATGTCGAGGAGAGAGGAAAGTCGTAGAAGGTTAAATCTGATATGGCTGAATAGTCATACATGCGTATTGATAATATTTGGTCATTGCTGAAACTTTTCTGTGTATCTCGAATGAAAATATTTCTCGTCCTCGCTAAGACCACTCTTTTCTTCTAAATGCTTACATTCAACTGCTCTGATCGTTTCAACAATTTTGGGGAACCGATTACGCGTTGCCGCGTTGACCTTTTTTTTTGTGAATCTTCATCACTTTGAATACTTTGCAAGTTGGTCTTATCCACTTGTTGCCGGACATCGGGTTCGTAAAATTATTTCTAACATGTAAAGACTTTGTTTCCTTTCTCTTATTCTTGTCTCAAATTATTGTTTGTTGATTGAGTTTTCTACTTACCTGGTTTTACAGATATAATATTTCGTGGACTGTTGACTCGCATACACCTATTGAGGAGTACAAACTATCGTTCCGAAGGTTACAACAAGGACAAGAGCTTGATAACTCCATCGACTCGCATTCATCGTCAATGCTGCAAATGTATGGTGGCAGCATGGGCGGTGGCATAGTAATGGGTAATAATCATAATTATCGCCTATCAGGAGGCATGAGTAGCTTGGGAAGCTTTGGCACCTATAATAGCGTTGGCAACGTAGTTCAGTGGGGCCGTAACGATTGGCGTGATGTTGTTCTTCCCGCAATGCCGTTATCTCATCATTATACTCAGGGCATGAGTTACATGATACGCGGTTTAGATCCCGATCAACACTACGAGGCTACCGTTCAAGCTAGGTAAGTAAAAATAATTAACATTTCTTATAACAGGTGGAAATTTTCTCCCGTAACCACTTGATCGGTCATGAAACTACGAGTTTCGCAGCCTCTAGCAGGCATACTTAAAGAAGTTATATTCCGTTTAGCTCGACTTCGTAAATACTCACCTAAGAGTTGCGGTTCTAAGCGAAAGCGCATTTGATTATGCCGCAATATAGCACGTCCTCGATCCGATGTGTTATAAGTCAAACTAAAATCTTTACTTATTCTTTCTAATATTTGCGTAGCAAGTTAGAATCTGTTTTTGTTATTTCTTGGACTGACATGAAGAGACTTTTAAGAAGCAAACTTCAAGAAGCCATTTCAAACTTTAAGCAAGAGTTTAAGACCATAACGTGAGAAAAAGGGAATAATTTTTGTTTTTTTTTCCAAGTCCTTAAGGGATCCATTATTCAATTTAGCTGACCTAGAACGCTATCGAGGACCTTCCCATGAGTTTGCCTAGTTTCCCTGTCTTCTGAATTTTGCATTTTGCACTTCCATGCATATCCAAAACATTTTATGCTACTTGCATACTTTTTCCTACGACCTCATTTACTTACCGAAGCTTGCGAGAAGTGTTAAGAATTCGAACTGAAATGTATATGAAATGAACTCTCTCCTTGTTGTTGTTTTTTTTTTTCATCATAATTTTTAAGGTACGAACAAAGTCTTTTTCAAATATTAATGAAATGAATCGATTATTATTTATTCATGATAATACACACATACATACGCTGTCATCTGTTCTTTATTATGTGTTTTTGTTTAATTAATTCCATTTTTATTATTATCATTATTTTTTTACAGGAATCGCTACGGCTGGAGTGATCATAGTCAAAGTTTCGTATTTTCAACGTCATCGAATGGTGAGTACTTTCTTTCGTTTTTCTTTTTTTTTTTTTTGTGTCTTTATATTTCGTTTAATTAGTGTATATTATCTGAGTATATATTACTCACATACTTGCATACTTTGGCACTGCTTCTTTTCTATTATTATTATTATTATTATTATTTCGTTTTTTGTTGTTTTTATGTTATGTATATGGATGTAGACATATATTTCACTTATTTATTTTTGTCGAACAGGAGAAATGTGAAACCACCGAAGAAAAGAGTAATACAAATATTTCCCTTAAGAATTACAATTACATTTTTTTTATTAATATAAATAAATTCGCACGATATCCGTACTGCAGAAAAAATAATGAATGTAACCAAAGGAAGATTAAGAATTACACTTAAAAATAATATACATCCGTGTGTATGCATCAAAAACTTTTACACTTGTGCGTAATAAGATTTAAATACAAGTTAAATTGATGGGCAATTATTATGGTATTAACGTTAATGTTTAAAAACGACTATAAGCTAAAGTAAGACAGATAGACTCGGTTATTATTCTTACATACGATTAAATAAAGTAAAACACGAGCATTTATGGCAAGCGAACTTGCATGTAGAACAAAGCTTCCCTTGCAATAATAATAAAAAAAAAAATAAATAAAAAAAACACGACAACTTTACTTAAACGTCAGACGAAATAAGATAAACGTATGAATTACGTTTCATATTAAGAGCACACTCAATATTATTTACGTAGTTATGCGCGGGCCATGAATAACGTATGTATACCGGCTGCCTCAAATGCATCGGGTCATGGAGACAAAAATGGAAAATATATTTATGATACAAATAAAAAGTCTTGCTTGATGACCTGGCCGCCATCAAGCCGTAATCCCTCAATCCCACCACCATAAAATTTCTACGATATATTGTTTTCCAACGGCATCCTCCAAGACAACTTAAGATCATTGCGATTTCGATTTCGATTTTGATTTATACAATGGCAGCATTAAAACTTTCCTAGGGACACATTATGAATTTATTAGCCTTGCAATCTTCGTCCTATTAAATAACATTTATTTCGCTTAAGAAGTTGAAACAGCGTTAATAGATGTAATCGGTCTATATGTCGGCTGGCGGAAGTAATACGTGATTCATGCAGTAGTTTGCTTAAAATATCGACTCAAGAGTAAAGTGCAAGGAGATAAGATTGGTATTCACATTCGATGTACTTTTCATCCATCGGTCCACGCAGGATTTCTTTATATCTCATTAGCAAATGATTGGAGTATGTCTCGAACTTGTTCTCTTGCGAGTGCTCTTATAAAAGTTTTGCTCAACTTACTGCCAGAAGATCATGCCATTTCTCTGGTCACTGGCCAGAAAAAATGACAAGTACCTTGAACATTGAAATTCGCAAAACAAAAGCAACTGAATTGTCTTACGTGCTGCTTTAAATCACTTGCAAAGCACGCGAACTGCAAAACGCTCATCTCTTTGTTGAAATAAAGGCGTTCAACAATCCTCTCTGATCTTCTACTAATCGGCAGTTAGCGTTTGCTATCGCATGGCTTTCAACCTAACCTCTTATGGCTTTTGAAGCTACTTTTCATCAAAAGGATTTAATGCATCTTAAATTAATTATCCAATCTACGAGGTTTCCTCAAAAAAGTGTTCAATTCACATTCCAGTTACGCAAAAGGGAAAGGAAAAATTTAATTGGCGGGATTTGGATACGAGAAATCCAAAAATTTATGACTTACATTTTCATAAGTGTTCAGTGCGTAAAGGCACAATAACACTTATCGATTGGGCACAAATCCTTTAAACTGTGACTACCTATCGCCCTCTCTGCCTCTATAACTATCTCCTTTTCTTTCATCACTTTTTTCTGACCGTCAACACGTTGCACGAATAAAAGAATTTCATGTATAATCGCAGATCATACTAGCCAGGTAACTGGGCATAGCACATATCGACGTCATGGTCCGTCGATCTGTCTGCTTTGAATTTCTTCATGAAATTTTATCATTATGAATGTGTATTTGCATAATAATAATGTATTTTAGAAGATATGTTTGTCATTTTGTTAAGCAATTTTTATCACACATACTGCCTGTGTGACGAGTATATGAGTATATCGCTAAAGAGATCGACACAATTAACTGATTAAGAAGACACAATAAGTCTTCAGAAGTATGAATCTTCTCACCTATTTATGAAACAAATGTGAAAAAATGCGGCGATTTTGAGTGAGCATAAGATGGTAATTATTTTTAAATATCAGAGATTTGAACCCAATTTTAAAGATCTTGACAATTTATTTCATAAGATTTCGGTAAGCAAAGCACTGCCTTATTGACTGACGAAATGTAAAAGTGCATTCGCCATAGAAATTATTCCGATAGTTAAGTTTAATTAAAAACCCTCTAGCTGTCGACCAGTCTGTCTTCTTAAACGGGGGTTTTTTAAGCCAAAAACCTTAAGATAGGCATTGAAAATGCCCAAAATGAAATTCAAAAGTGAAAATAAGGTGCTGCTGGTTATTTTTCTTACTTTTTAAATCCTTACTCTATCGTTCTAACTTGTTTATTCCAACGCGTCATACGCGAGTTAACATTGTCTTTGTTGTCTAATCAGTTGTTCATTGGTCTCATTGGACTTTTATTCTCGATTGTTTGATATAAAAATGAACTCACTCTCTGGGAGAAAACTTTGAAAAAAAAAAACATCGATTACGAAAGGGAAAAAGCTATTTAAATGCAAAATAAGAATTCTTAAAAAAATTTAATATACAAGAGAATGCAATGACATAGATAAATACAACAAACAACAACGTTTTGCTATGCAAATCGAAAGGAATATTTTTACGTTTTTTTTTTTTTTTTTTACAAAATAAAAGCCGTTGAATTTTGCCTCGATTTTAGCTTTATTTTTTTGTTAAATTGAATGCAAATCCACTTTTGCACAACTACAAATATGTGCGCTTATGCACATATGTGGAGGTTCGCTTTTGTGAGCGAACTATACGCACATTTGCATACTGAGAAAATATAAAATAAATAAGAATTTCTTTACAAACCAAAAAAAAAAAAAAAAAAATCAACTAAATAAAACTAAACAACATTACACACATCAACATCAAAATTGCATTTACATCGAAACGAGCCTCAGATATCCAGACCATCTTGTCAGTTAGCTATCCGGTCAATTGAAGCTGAATTTTTAGTTTGGCTCGACCTTTTGCCGCACAATTTAAAGAGATTGACGATTCAGCTTTAGAAAGCTATTTTTCCGATAAGACGGTCTTTTGTGTATAAGTAGGAAAGTATACGCTGGTTTCTTTATTCAGGTGAACAGATGAAAGACGTACATACTACGTCCATGCATTGCTTTGCTCTTATCTACAGCTTATTGGGCCTTTTCAACGATCTTAATACTAATCTCTTCGTCTTAGTACAATTTTAAGGACAAAATCTGTCACAACCATTAAGCCATAATAAAATGAAGTATAATTGCGTTCTATACTAGGTTTGTGAAGAACTAGAAACATTTTAGATTTCGAAACATTGATCTGACATTCAACACGATGCACCGATATTTGGCTATCAGAGGCATACAGAAATTTTTTATAGGCTCAGAACTTTAAACGGACACTTTCTTGTTGAGTAGTTAGAATGTGCCCCAGAAAGCACTTTTGCTTCGATTAATAATCTGCATTTTAGTTGGAAGACAAAAAGAAAAAGAAATGCTAACAATCTCCGAGGAAAAGCATCTTGTTACACTTGTGTACTTTATCATAATTTTCTTGTTATTATTTATTTGAACATCCGACATGGATTATCCTTCCTTTTACTTAAACTATTCTTTTTCCGCTTTTTTTTAACTAAATGATAACAAATTTTCTCAATATAAAAATTTTCGCAATTTTCCTTTTCAACGACTGTACTGAACTCTATAAGCCCAGTTAATAACGATAAATTTGGTTTACACTTGAATCGTTGAAATTTCAATTTTCTTACATTGACAACGCATCCTGAAGACAGCTCAGTAACCGAAACCAAACCACGAGGCATCCCGACAACAAGTACGCAATATTAGTTGATATTTCTCTATATTCGAATGATTTAAGGCCGAACAACAGACAACAGGACTATTTTGCGGTTAAGTTAGTTTGAAAAAGTTTTCTTAGGCAAACAATTTTTACTATTATGTGTTGTAGAGCGAAGCTTTAACAACAATGAGATATAAAAGCAATAACAAAAACATAAAACTAAAACTAACTCTAAAACTAAAATATCAACGCATACGCTTTTGTATATGTATATTCACATGCCAGTAAATATCCAATATTCATTACATAAGTTCGTATGCATGCAAAACCCCTATCGGCACTGCTGGATACACAAACAGACGCATGCAGTGCAAAATGAAACCTGCCTTGTAATGGTTTTGAGGATTTTTGTTGTATTTTCTACATTCTATTTTTCCTCATCTTCTATTCTCCATGTTTGAACGACATTAACTGATATTACATATGCATATACATATGTATGTGTATGTATATATACATATATCACGTAGACATCACCATATGCCTATGTGTATGCCTGTATTTACGAATGTATCAACATAAAATAATGCCCAATAAAATCGTCATGACGACAGTTTTCAATGGGTAAAGCTATGCATGAAAGGCATTTTATTATTCACAGTTTTTATCGAAGTGTTCGGTGCTGTGATCGAAAAATGTATTTAAATATATTTACATTTAAATACAAATACTTGCCCATATAACACATATGCAAATAAATATGCATGAAAAGAGAATGCTTAGAATAAACAAGTGAGAAAATTATGTTCGCCTTTGGCCGAATCGTTTATACCCATCGTCCTCAACTCGATATTCTTCTCCATATTCTGTAAAATTGGGTGGACGTGGCATTTGATTTTTTCCACCAGATACCTTAGGATCACCCACTTCGCATTTTTCACGTTTTGTTTTTACAGCTTCGTGCGATATCATTGATTTCTAAGAGAGAAACGTTCTCGGTTTATGCCGTAGCGTAGATATAACTTTCGAACAATTTGGCTTATCTTCAATATCGATCCCCTCGCAATCACTTTCAGTGGCTTTGTTAAAATGTAATCTTAAGTCTTGCGATCGAAACAATATTCTAATAGACAGACAGACAGACGGACGGACAAGCACACATATCTATATTAATCCAAATTTTAATATTTGATATATCAAGAAGATATAAAATTTATAATGTCTTTGAAGCGCTTTTCTGGGCACTGCGAACGCTTCGACGCAGGCAAAGTACCTCCGTTCTTCGATGTTGATGACATAAAATTCGTATGTGTAACTAGAGTTGTTAATCTGCTTTAAAGGCTCACTTGAAACAATAAGCGAATAAATTAAAAGTTTTTAAGACTATTAAAACAAATACCAACTTTAGGTTTCTCAAAGCAAACAGAAAAACACATTTTATTTCCATGTAGACAACAAGACAAATCTACTAAATGTTTCAATTAGTCAAAATATTTAATTCGTTCACATTAAAGCTGTTGACAATCTAAAGCATATTAAGCCGCCCCCAGAGTTGATTCTTATATGACTATGTCCCGTTATATTCTCATTTTCCATAAAGTTGTGCACACTCAAACACAACGATTATGCAACGAAACATATTCTCATTAAGCACGCAGTTACCGAATTTCGTGTTAATGAACTAGATATTTGTACTCAATTCGCGTAATGCTGGACTAACTGATAAAAAGTCCGTTTATTAATTTATTAGAAAAATCTCCTGAGATAATCAGCCAATCGATTCATTCAAGTCATCATCATAAATCGAATATGAAGTCGGCCTACAATACCTCACCTTATAGATAGATTAGGGTTATGAGGTCCTAAGGAAGCGGAAACGCGCTTTTGTAACTGATACGCAAGGGCGCTGGAATATGAACGTAAAGCGAAGAGTGTTTGGACGCTGGACGGAAGAGTATTTGGGCGAAGTCTTCATAATAAATCGAATAAGAAGTTTGCCTACAATCATCTTATAGATAGATTAGGATTATGAGGTCCTAAGGAAGCGGAAACGCGCTTTTGTAACTGATAAGCAAGGGCGCTAGAATATGAATGTAAAGCTAAGAGTGTTTGGACTCTGGACAGAAGAGTATTTGGGCGAAGTTTTCATCATAAATCGAATAAGAAGTTTGCCTACAATCATCTTATAGATAGATTAGGATTATGAGGTTCTAACGAAGCGGAATCGCGCTTTTGTAATTGATAGGCAAGAGCGCTGGAATATGAATGTAAATTAAAGAGTCTTTGGATGCTTCTTGTAATTAAACAAAAACACAATTACTAGGACGGATGTGTATGCACGAATGTATTTAGTAATTTCCCCAATATTCTCCAATTCACCTAATTTTCGATAAAATACTTATCTCTCAAAGTGAAAATGAAAATTCTCCTCGAAATGTAATAAAAATTATTTGCACTCACGTTTACTAAGGTTTACGATTCTTTTCTATTTTTTATTTTTGCTTTTCTTACGGCTACTCACTTTCACCTTTATTCTCCGTTAGAAAAAATCACAAATTTCACTTCACTTGTATGTATTTCAGATGGTCTAACTAATCTATCAACCTATTTAAATAACGATCACTTGTCAGGTTAGTTTTTGTAATAAACAAGAAACATGGCAAGCCGCACTTCCACGACTTTTCCTGTTTCTTTTTTTTTTCTGTGTCTCTCTGAAATTTTTCCATCTTTTGCCTTTTTATCTAGTCTTTGCATTTTTATATTTTATTTTTTTTTTTCTTCTTTTTTCTATATACTCGTATATAATTTCTTTTACTGCATGCTTGAGATGTACAATTGTGCATGTTTCGATATTTATGCATATAATAAAGTTTATAAAAAAACAAAAATAAAAAAGAAACATGTGTAACGGGATGGCTCTCTGTACAGTATAAAATGACTATTAAAATTATTTTTTGCTCCTCAAACCAACTTGCACATGTACCGCTACGTTAAATTTCATCGACGTATTGTGCAAGTTAGTTATAAAATTATATTAAAATTTCCTGTTATCCTGTCAGGATTATTTCAACTTTTTAACTATTCTGGGTATGCGCTATAAGTGAATTATCAAATTTTACAAATTTCACCTTGCTTATCTAAGAATACACAGGATGTGGTGTTTTTTTTTTCTTTTTTTTTTTTAATACATCTGACATTACTCAAAAAGTCTCCGATATGCTTTCTATCAACCTTCAAATCAAAATTTCCAGCAGATCAAAATTTCATGACACACTAACAATTAGTTTGCAGGTTACGGTGGTTCTACTGGCACAACATTTTGCACCGATTCGATCAACTTTCGCCTATTGCTGTCCGCTCAGCTAACAACCGATTTGGCTCTGGAGTGATACACCCATGTGTCACCCTTTCTCACGTATTCCATGAAAAATTCAAAGCCAGATGGCGCTCTCAGTCGTCAATGCGCTCTTGTTAAAACTGAGCAAAAGCGAAATTCGCTTCGAGTAGAACTTTCTTGTGGGCAAATATTCATGCAAAATAGTAAATTCACAGCCTCTGATAACTTAAAGTTTAGTTTCCGATTTTTCAAAACAATTTTGCGCATTTTTTTTATATTCCCTCGAACAACTTCCAGTTTTGGGCGACCAGAGCGTTCAGCATCATTGGTATCCATGCGACTTTGCTTAAATTTGTCAAATCGCCAAAAGAAGTAGAGCAATAAACTAAAACCGCGTTGGTTGTTAACTCTATTTTTTTTTTATCAAAAATCAATATTTGATCAGCAAACGAAAAACAGTATATGGCACTGTTTTGAGCATTCGTAGCTCAGCTACATGGTCTCAATTTCGTGACAAAGATTAGTTTTTAGATCGTGAATTGTTTGTGGGGCGTTTGCACACATTGTACCTTCTAAATAGCCCGTCTCGAGGAGAAAAGACGAAAGTCTGAAGGTACCACAGGGTCGATATTATTGACCAATTGACATCTGAAATTCATGAAATCACTTTTTCTATTTACTTGAATAACAACAAGTTTATTATTTAAAAACACTTAAAGCATGTCGCAATGCGTTGCTGAAACCAAAGGTCTCCTACATTGTGTTCACGTAACTTGAACCGCGAAAAAACCAAATTCCATACTGCAATATATTTCATCATTCGCTATCTACGCACGTTTCCAAGGAAATGCGGAACTAAGTCTTCACCGACTCTGCTTTTTGAGTGTAAGTGACTTTTCATGAATCACGTGAACATTTTCTATCCGCCAAAATCGATAATTTTGTTCCTAACTGTGTCCATCCACTGAATAGAACGCATATTTCGTCGCGAACCATGATTTTCGATTAATTGTAATATATTATGTAACGTTTATCAGGCTTATGCGTTTCTAGAGATTAAATAAATTAAATCTATAAATACACATGGGAAGGCAGTGATTTTGAATGAATACTAAGAGAGTAATGAAATGACTTTTACCCCAAATATTTTCACGACCAATCTCTGTAACATTTAAGTTCGACAAAATCTGTATGTAGTCTTTAAACGAGTTTGTGCAATGAATTGTTTTTATGAAAACTTGACATCTCGCCTTCACCCACCATGAAATGTAAACAACAACAACAATATGAGCAACAAATCCATTGCTTAGAATTCGTCATTTGTTGTCCGCATATCCATTAATCTCCCAAGAAAATACATAATGAGAGGTTTGATACAAAACTTCTGCAACAGGTATCCTCACGTTTGAAGTGCAATGCAATAAAAAATCTTGCAGTTTTCTTAGAAAATTTGATCATCGAAGAGTCGCTTCTCGGCGGATAACTAAAAACAAGGCAAAAATTTTAATAGCAAAGCAATTGCTGCGAGGGAAACTATAATTCAGTTTTATGTTTTCTTACGTTTAGGTAGGCGAACGGTTTATATTTCACTATGGAAATAAATACCTCATGACGCAAGCTTTTCGTGGGAATTTAAGCAGGTGTGGAGTATTTTTTTGAAGACAAGCGGAAAGAAAAAGGAGCAGCGACAGATATTTTTTATCCATGTCTTCAATTGAATTGCATGCTGGTCTTGAATATGTACTTTTAAGTTTTGAGAGCGGGATGACTATCCCGCTGAAAGGCATCGTAAGCGAGAAAGAATCATAACGCGAAGGGACGACTAGTTAGCAAGCACTATTGCGGCCTTTACGCGATATGTCAATAATTTAAGTAATTTCAACGTTGATTCTCCTCTACTATTAAGTACTATTAAGAATTTTAATTATTAATAACCTTTTTAACCTCGGTTATAAATGCAAAAAACATTTTTGTGTTTTCTTTTTCTTTCATTTTCTTTTGCGTAACTTTTTCCTTTTTTTAACAAAAGCGTAAATTTTAGTTACGTATGGTAATAGTCAGTGAATGGAGAAGCAACAAATTGTGTAATTGAAAAAAAACAATTCTCTTTCTATTGCAGATAACGAAATGCGTGACTTGAGTGTAACATTTTATGGAAGCACAGCACCTGTGATCGATATCACGAAAACTCTTAACTACTTCAGCATCGTATTGATATACATCTACAATAACAGCATATAAAATACTTAGCGTTCTAAAAAAGAATAAGTAATCCAGTAAAAAAAAAAAAAATTACATTTTATTTAGACTGAATCCTTTGATATCAGATATTTGTTTGTTTCTGTGTTTTTTCCCAATTAAGAAATACATTGCAAAGCCGAAGAAAAGCTTTGATTGTAAAACATATCCGTTTCCAAACTATGACGACATTATTAACCTATGATTTCGCGATTCGAGCTAATTAAATTTGTCAATGAATGTACCACGTGGTAAAGTGAATGTATTCGCCAATAGAGAGTAAAAGAAAACCGCCTTGTTTTATATAATTTTTTCTTTCTGATACCTTTTAATTTGAAAGCAGACGACAATTAAATAAATCACTCTTAATGATACAATATTTTGAAGCAAATTGCTTGCTATTTACGACATGAGAGTTTCATAGGAAACGACGAAAAGTCAAAGGCCTATAGAATACAGACGAGTTTTCTCCAAATCGCGATATTTCTTCTTGGTCTTGATGCACGATAAAACATTGTTCTATCAGATCACCCAAAAGTTCTTTGAATCCTATTTTGCTTTTGAAGTTAATCACAAACGATCAGCTGAAGAGAATCAGTAAAACGATTCCGTAAAATCTTAAGCAAAAAAATTTGTTTTACTTAACACCGTAAAGTAAATTGATTAAGAGACTTTAATTAGCTTCTGTTCCTTTCGCAAAGAACTTCTGCAGAGATCTTTTCACAGCCATCACAGTTACGTTAGGTAAGCCCGCCGTTTTAATAGTAGTTCTATATAGACGAAAACGGTCTTCTAATCTAATCTAAGACATTTTCCAGAGTCTTATGACTAAAACTTGGCAAACTATTCTCTCGGTATTTGCATTGCCTGCAACTACTACTTTGTAAATCTCTGGCTCATATTCCCATGAAATTTGATTAATTAAAACATCTCCGATAACTTATGTCTTAATTGAAGCAATTTGAAAGAAAACTACGTGTTTGTGAGACGTATGGGTTTTTTTTTTGAATTTTTTGTTAATGACTAAGAAACGGTATTCAAATAAAACTTCTTTGGTAACTAAACGTTAAGTATATGTAAATAGATGAAAATGACGCTAATGATATTAAGGAACAACCCTAGATAGAAATGTTTATATATGTTTACCGAAACACCTCAGCATGTGTAAGAACAGATTGGTTAAATAACTTAACGATCGATGATTACAGTTACAAACATATGTACATATATTGAATATATTGAAAAAAAAAAAAGAAAGAAAGAAAAAAAATCAAATTTCACATATAAAATTTTGGTCTCTCTCTCCCTTTCTCGCTCTCCTCCTTCACATGTCTCGTGCAGAGTCATTCATTTTGATTCGTTCAAAATA